TTTAGTGAGCCATGGGTTTATTCCTGTTGCTTAATTGTTCTCATGAGATAATAAACCAGATGTCTTGATATTATAAAGTTATCACGCTTTGATCATTTGAACAAACAGGGTTTTGCCATTTTGGTGCTTACATCAGGCATCTGGAGGATACAGCTGGTGCTGGAAGGCTGCCAGAACCAGGGAACATTATTCTCATAGTCTCTCAATGAGCTCCTGAGCTTATTAGATTTATTTCTACCATTGTGTCCTTTCTTCCCTTTTCTATCAGTTTTCTGAACTTAATTTTTTCAAACAAGATGTACTTTTTATAAGTTGGCAATGACTATTTTTTGTTAAGTAAATCTGTCTTTTTTTAAAAAAAAAAGATTATAATAGTTTATTCTTACATCATTTTGTGCCTTTTTCCATCTCAGTTGTAATTCCTGTGGGCCTCCCATCATCAAATCACCAGTGTGCCATAACCATAGTCCTGTGTACTACCCCTCGCCCCAACTCTCCCCTCCACCCCCATAAAATGTATCTGGTATATAGTTGTTATTATCATTTTCTCTCCTTCTCCATTTTACTCCTGATATGAGTGAAACCATCCGGTATTTTTTTTTTCTTTCTGGAAAATTTCACTAAGCATCATCCCTTCCAGCTTCATCCATGTTGCTGCAAAAGTCCTGTGTTTATCCTTTTTGATTGCTGAGTAATATTCCCTTGTATGTATGTTACCACATCTTTTTTAATCCAGTCATCTACTTTTGGGCATTTGGTTTGTTTCCATGACTTACCAATTATAAATAAAGCAGCAATAAACATGGGATGCAGGTGTCTTTTTGAAACAGTGTTAGTGTCTTTTGGGTAGAGACTTAGGAGCGAGATTGCTGGGTCATATGGAAGCTCCATTTTTAGTAGTTTGAGAAACCTCCAAACAGTTTTACATAGTGGTTGTACTCATTTGCATTCCCAAAAGCAGTGCAGGAGAGTTCCTTTTTCTCCACATCCTTGCCAACATTTGTTGTTGCTATTTGTTTTAAGAGGTACCATTCTCACTGGGTGAGGTGGTATCTCATTGTGGTTTTAATTTTCATCTCCCTTATTACAATTGATGTTGAACATTTTTTCATATGCTTGTTGGGTCATCTGCATTTCCTCTTTGGAGAAGTGTCTTTTTACTCTTCTGCCCATTTTTTGATGGGGTTGTTTACTTCATTTTTGTTGAGTTTCATCAGTTCTCCGTATATTTTTGTGATCAGTCCTTTATCGCTAC